AAGCCAGCTTTCGATTTGCAGCACTTGCCACATTCCTCACACGTGAACCCAACGAGTCTCTCCTGTGTACTGCTTGGAACTGGTGCGGAGGCGCCAGATGATTCGTAGTATACATTGTCGAAATTAACCCGCACATTGAAACCAAACGGGGTGGTTGGCCCTGTCTGGAGTAGCTGAACATTTAGCTCACCCAGACTGACGTCCAGGCTACCCGGTCGGCATCACGAGGAGGTGGTTCAGCTCGCCGACTAAAGTCGATCGGCACAACCAGTACTTTTACTAGGCCGCTGGGTGAACCAGTCGCATTGTTCAGGTGGGATAAACTTCACCCGTTCACGCATAGTAAATCAGATGCGACAGAGTAGTGATAACACCTCGCATGTCGGATGTTTGGGATTCGAATCCCGGCATCGGTAAGGATAAATGCCTCTGCTGAGCCCTACTAAGAGCGAAATTCGGGCCGAGTGCCTTTCTTTCTTGGTGTCTACTCACCGGAACAAGTTCGGGGAGAGAACCCTTCAAAAGAGATCTACATGAATGTCCAGTACTAAGTAAATCACTGAACGACTGGTTCACTCAACTGAGATCGCGGCGGAAAAAAATCGAAGTGGATTTGGTGGTTTTATTTGGCGAAGAAACATTTGTCCGGTCTAGATGATAGTTTACGAAGCTAATGCGCTCAGTTCCGTTGAAGCAGCGTAGGTCCTCCGATTTCTTATTAGTCAAGCTTCCTGTTCTAATCTTTGACCCAAATCTCTTCTCATTCTCCACTTTGGTCTTAGTCGACCACGAACGGATCCAGATGCGCTGCACATGTCGGCCTGACAAAATGTTGAGTTTCACCCTTCAGCATGCTGTGAGTGATTGACACCCCGGTGGGTGGAAGATGCCAGAAATAAATAGGTCATATTGTTAACTTGTTAACCGTTGAGTTCCGCGTGAAGTGTCAAAGCGAAAAGAATCGCAGACTCTGACACTGGCCCCTTTTCAACTTGTGGGGTCGTGGAGCACATGGCGTGACTTTGAGAACCTCGCAAATATTTGCTAGAAATAACATACATCAACTTTTAAAGGTAACTTGTAGCAGCGATGGAGGAATACCCTAATGTAGTTGCCAGTGAGCTGGCAGCCCAAGTTTCAACCAGCAGAATTTCGGGTAGACGATTTCAATTGTCAAGTCAACGTTGAGATCGGTTGGCAATTAAGAAGAGTCTCATGTGATACGAACGCACTTTCCGACGCATCGATCTCAAGAATGCAATTAAAAATGATCAAAAATAGGCTGTAATACTTCAAAAAATTTCTCTGCACTTTAGACAGCAGAATGTGATCCTCCGGTCAACTGAATCTCAGAACTTGGTTGATATGAAGATTTGATTCTGGGTGAAGACCACTTAAAACTGGGGACCGTACATGCTTCTGATAGACTTTCGATACGTCGGCCTACTTTCCGTGAACAAACGGAAGTGTTGAAAGCAAAAACGTACTTCGCCACTACCCAGACTTTGAGTTTGTTTGTTTTCGAACATCATTAGTTTGTGTCATCCAAAGTCCGGTCTTATTCGGGTAATCTCAGCCGCTCGAAATACACCACGATGCAGCAACCTGGTCACCTCCTCTACAACTTCCCTTATCTCTGACCATAAGTTCCAGTCAAGGCGCTCTTTTGCACATCTCAGTATGGGGTCGCTCCCAGTGGATGCATTAAGAGCTTGAAATAGGGGGAAACACAAAGATTGACGGCAAAGGTTGTAGTTCACTTCATTTTAAGGAAAGCCATTGAAACGGAGAGTTTCTGGTCTCGCACTAATTTCTTGTGGAGAGTTACACCGCCTCGGACTGAACAGTGCTCGTACGAAGAGCAAGCGAATGGTAGATGTAGATAGGTAGTTGATTGGAATGTCGCGATTTCCAAACCGGTATAGTGTTAGTCAGAAGCCGTCTCCAAACATATATCACGGGGTGAAGTGGCACTTCGTATGCAATGTGAAATTCCTCTTCATACTTCGACTTAATTATATTGGGTAATTCGGTGTGAAACAATTACAAGTTGAAATATGCATGCATACCCACCTCCCAATACACACTATCGCGTTCCCCCTGTTAATCTGCATATGGTTGGGTGCGCAGATAACCTCCAAAGGACTAGCTATTCCAACCATCGTGACTCTCCCACTCGACGAACGCTAGCTCTCAAGTGGCTCTGAATATTAGAACAGATTGTCAAAAAGCGTCAAAAAGCCAAAACTTAAAAGATGATCTACAAGGAGGTATTCGAAATCTGTGACAAGTTTTCTCAATGTCGGAATAAACTCGATTGTTGGATCGTAGGAATGTCTTAGGAAATGGTTTTCGTCACGATATCCGGTTAGCCGAGCCGTAAACTGACTTTTGAAGAACATAGAGACGTTTTCAGAATCGCGCCAAAGGTGGCATAATCACCTTTCGTCTCAGACCAAAGAAGTTCTTCTATTTTACACGGCTAGTTTTCTTCAACGCGAGATTTGTTTGGTTTCAATGATAACGTTTGGTAGTAGATATTATATTAACTAGTCGCACTACGCTCCTCTTCACGCCAGAAAAGTCGAATCGAATCGAATCGTCCAGCTATAGCACTCTTCCGGTGCCTAACTACCATGCCACTCGAAGGTTGCACGAGAGCTGGGATACTGCCAGGTTGCCCAAGCCTAGACAGCGGAAGTCGAGAGGCAGAGGGCGGGTTCGAACCACGGACCTTCCGATCAGTAATTTCGCGCTCTAACCACTTCGGCCGTCTCGCCCGGCCTCGTCAGAAAGGTCACCTATTTGTGAGTTCATCCCCAGAACGTTTTGTCCCAGAACTATATATCGACCAGACTACGACTACCGAGTACCAGACAGCCATCGGCCCAAAGGTGAATATTCCGGAGGAGCTCATTTGAAAGAATCCACCGAATCCGTCATTCCTTTACGGCCAGACGACTACCTCCTCACTAGAGAAATCAATTCCCACCAACTGGAAAAAGCCTCTCACAATTCCTCCTCCACACCCTCTTCATCCGTAAAATCCGTCACATACCGCAACAGAACCTTCAGCCCCCTCTTATACTTTAATTTTGACCAGTGGTGCCTCCGTGGCCGGGTGCGTGCGAAGTCCGAGTCAGTTTCTCTGGGTGTCTTAACCAAGCAACAGCGCGATACACTCGACAGACTGACCTGAATTACACCTACAGGGACTAAAGCCCTGAATGACTGAACGGGGGAATCAGTGAACCGCATGTAGTGGTGCATAAGTTATCACGATAGGATTTGGGTGCTAGGGCACCCCGCAATGATCGCGTATGTAATTAGGCCAACGCGCAATGTGTCTATTGTGAACGCTAACGGATGCGACTGAAACGCCCGGATCAGAAGTCCGTAGCGAGAAAGCCTTGGATAAATTTTGCGCCAATATGGTCGGTTAATCACTCTCAGGACCTTTAGGGAGATTTTGTAACCGACTTAATGTTGCGCACAGACCTGAGCAGTCCGGAAACTATAACGACGTAACAGAAAGTAGCGGCGAAACTCCAACCCGTTGGAGGTGACAACCGCTGAGCCTTCATTAACAAAGAATGGGATAACACATCTCTTGAACCTACAATGCGCCGTACCAAGTTCTTGGTTGGCGCACAAGTAGTAAGTCGTTCAGCCATAACACCCTTTCGGTGCCTAGGTGCCATGCTACCCGAAAGAAGCACGAGGACTGGGATACTGCCACGTTGCCCAAGCCTAGACAGGGAAAGTCGAGAGGCAGAGGTCGGGTTCGAACCACGAACCTTCCGGTCAGTAAGCTCGTGCTCCAGCCAATGAGCCATCTCGCCCTGTGCATGTGGCATTCCTACAATTCCGAATGGAGTGCGAAGATGTGGTCGAAATTCCGTCATGCCGTGGCGAAAAATCGGTGACGCCAGAAGCCTTGTTATGACGAGAGTCAGATTGACATCCCTGTAGTTGCCTCGTCTACCGAGTGTCTTTTTTGAAAAAGGCACTATTATCGACTCACCAAAATTGTTCAGGACAATCTCTTCCTCCTAAATGGATGCTAGCGTGTTGGTCATCAACTGAGGAGCTCACTACCGTACGCGAACAGAGCTCGTGAAAGGCTATAAGGAAATAAAGTTCAGTAACTTTTGTGAAGGGACATACGTCCGTAAACTTTTAAGACTCACTCACTTTAAACGTCTGTGCTAAGGAGCGACATCCTACGTGGGATGCATCAGGTGGCTGCCTAACTGTACAAACGTTCCTATTTGATATATATCAGAGAATCATTGATGCTTCCGACGATAAGAAACTGTTAAAGACGCGTTTCCCAAATCACATGGATTAATTCACGGACGTCTCCAGCAATTTTAGCCCCTTCCGTTTCTTCGGCCACCAGCATACACATAAACTCGTCTTTACCTGGCGTCAGATAGAATCTGACCTCGGGTTTCCAGAAAAACCGTAGCACTACCAGAAACCCAATAGCTGGATTCTGCCGTACACAGAAGTCTTGGCTTTGGGTATCTTACCCCAGTGATAGGTAACACCAGAAAATCGGTCAGTAGGCAGGCACTAAGGGCGGCTTCGAGACGTTTGTTTACAGGGCTCATGAAGTTCCCAGTGGTCAAGTGAGGTGTGCGAAGACCAAAAAAGGGGCAAAGAACGAGTGAATGATCTGAGTCCGTAATGATATTCTGAAAGGAGCAGAAGGCAGTGCTCCATCCTGGTCATGGATAACTGGAAGGGATGTGACATGTTCGGTTCCGAAGCTGGTTGACACTAGGTGATCAGACAGTTGAAATTCTCTGTAAACTTCGAACTTTAAATAAACAGTCTGTGATCAGCACACATCAACAGCGGGGGATCACCGTTCTGCGTGTCTCTTGTACCCAAATCAAGACAACTGCGTAGTTGGGTCCCATTAGAGCCAAGGCAACCCACCTGCACGCCCATGTCACCAACAAACACAACTATGTTGGCCCGTTGCAACATAGTACCCAGAGCTTAATGACAGTTGTCTCTGGCAGATTCAGAGCCGGTTGTTGGTGTATAAAAAATAAACAGACCGCTTTCTGGAGATTACCTCACAGACGAACAGCGCAAAGACGAAGATACCAAGTCAGAGCTTGATAGCACTGCACAGTACCGAACCCAGCATATTCAGTGGCTCCTGCATCACCAGAGAGGCGCAGCCTGAAGCACGTATAGTCACAGGGAAATCAGCTCAGTTGCAGTGTCCTAATTGTTTCTAACAAACGGTATACGTCAATGGAGAGGAACGGGAGTGACGGGAGAGTGACTTGATATCATGCTTGCCTCAAAGTAAAAACATCAGAGGCAGCTAGGTAGAACGGAATGACCGGTTTGAAAATTCATCTCTGGGTGTCTGACGGACGAGCAGATGCTGTTGCCGAGTGTGATGCAAGACAAACGAAGCTATTAGCTTTCGTGCTGCGATCTGAAGAGAGTAGTGACGATGGGGTTGGGTAAGAGAAGTGTACGTGGCAGATCAGTTCCACTGATGAGTGAGAACAGCCCTGACAAGAGTTTAAAACAGGCCGAGCAGAACTTATGGGATACATCAAGTGATTTGCTTCCCGCAGAAGAAATCCTTACTCGGGATCGTGAGAGATCTACTCACGGTATTGTGAACCCACACCAACGTGATGCATGCACTGTTAGTAAGGAGACTATGGAAACGTCGGTAACGCAGTACTGATTGTGCACCATGAGGATTCTGTTACTCCCCCCTCCGTTTCCCTTACACCGGTTCAACCACCTGCAGTACATACTACTATCCTAGGGTAAAAGCCGTGTTGCATCTCCTCCAAAACAGAAAACATCCTCACTGTTCTGATGAGTACATTATCCACCAGTTCTATTAATTGACATAATCCTACGCCGATGTGGCATTTGTTCCACAATGACAGTCCTCATTCAGAAGTGATCTGTGCATGGTCCAGCCTATCTATAATAAAAAAAACAGATCCTCCTGCTGTGAATCTTTAGCAGTTTGAGTCCACAGACAAACTGTTACAGTCAAGGATGCACACACTGCCGGTGTGATGTTAGCGGGGGCACATGCAACTGTATCTGATTTATTTCCAAACACTAAAAAACCGCACTTGAAAATTGAGTGCCATTGTAGATGAGGATGTTTAATAGCGTTTCAAACAGTTGAACGACAAATTCGCTTGGGTACCAGTGTAGCGGACAGATTACTGATGCAAATTGCGAGTAGTATGACCTGTATCTACTGTGAATCACCACGTTATGCTTAGCTTGTTGGAATTGGGAATAAATAATTCCGCGTCCGACCGGCTTCTTACACAAGGTATAATATGAGATTGGTAAGCAATTCAAAATAGACATATAAACCTTCCGAAAGGACATTCCATAGAGAGTACTATCTGCCATTCATGTTGGCCTCCCGGTATAAGAAAAGTGCCCCGCACCTTCTAAGGGTTCATTATTTTGTTCCACGGGTGTTTTCACACCCTCCCCCCACCCACATAGGGTCACGAATCCGAACATCAGTGAACTGTGAGCTGTCGGAAGCAAGCCAGCCAATACAGGATTTCTGAAGTGTTCGAACATTGCTTAATGTGGCTTATCAGTGATAACCCATACACAACTGGGATGATGCTAAGCGTCGACCTTGCGACGAACGACATCACGCTCAAGTCCCTTAGATTTCAGCATAACTTTGGCATCATCATTCGTCAAGCGATAGTTCTTTATCGAGGCATCTCCAAATGCCACTTAGCGATTTAAACGTAGTATTACGCTGTCTAGCTGTAGCACCATTTCGGTGCCTAGGTACCATGCCACGTGAAGGAGGTACAAAGGCCGAGATACTACCAGGCTACCCAAGCCTAGACAGGAGCATTCGAGATGCGGAGGTTGGGCTCCAGTTGGGACCTTCCGGTCAGTAAGTTCGCGCCTTAACCATTGAGCTATCTCGACCTCAGTGATCTCAACAAATGTCGTTCAAATGCTGATGGAGCTCCCAAGTACGTAAACGACCTTCCGAATACAGATACAGCACTGGGGCTTCCCTAAGTGGCCATTAAACGATAGGACCACACAGGATATCGTTCCTGGAAGGATGAACAAACACTCGGTACTAAATACATGATCCCAAAACCACCGGACCCACTAAAGCTAAAGGTGGCACTTATTTAAAGAATGGTCATGCGAGATCTTGTGAGTCTGCCACCGGTCAACATCGGCATCGCTTCCAATTGTAGAACGTGGGGGTGGATGAATATTATGGTGAAATTCCTAAGAAGTGAACAAACGAAGTATACAAAGAACATAATTATAGGCTATCTAGCTCACATAGTTACTAAAACCTTTGCTTTGAACCAGCAATAATAAAATCTAGTGAATAAGAGTTCGCCGAGGATATCGGGATTCGAACATGTCGCCCAGAACTTTGTGTTCAAAAGAAACTCGTGCAACCTTTGAACTCGTACCGGATTACTAACTATCATGCTTCCACAAATTTGTTTGGCTGTGAATTAACTCCCCTTTCATACTGCCACTCCTGAGTAACGACGACGCTCTAAAAAAATACTCAATCCGGAACCTCCGATGCGACTGACCTCTTCANATTAACTCCCCTTTCATCCTGCCACTCCTGAGTAACGACGACGCCCTAAAAAAATACTCAATCCGGAACCTCCGATGCGACTGACCTCTTCAGGGAAATTACCCAAACAACATTACGGTAAAATGTAGTTGGTTTGTGACACTAATATCAGGGAATAGTGCAGAATCGACGGTACCAACACACCTAACAGAAGCAAAACAAATGTAGCTGATTTATAAGCAAATCACAACACAGAATTTCGCAGTCGCCAGACATAATGGGAGAGTAAACAGTACCTGATTTTATTCATACTACTGTACAAAGTAAAGTAGCTTGTTTTTAATCAGCAGAGATGCTGTGGGTTTTTTGGGATCCACATGCAGCTGTTCCCAACTTCGAAAGGCCGCCTTTCACACAAAATCCAGCAGATGAATACAACATGAACTAGTCATCAGGCAGTTGCCAGACATTGGCAAAAAATCGTCGGACATGGAATAAAGTACGCAGAGAAACGAAGAAACAGCTTCAGTATCAGTTTGCACTTGTGGGAATTTGTCAAGCATAGTTATTCTGTGGACAATGAACTTCACAATAATGAAAGAGATGTGCCAATATCACCTAAATTACCCGTTATCTCTCCTATTTCCCTCAAAAAATCATTCGCCGTAATGACCTGGGAACAGTAGGCCAACGTCTTGGGAAGGGATGCATCTACTGAGCAATCTCATATTAAGTCAATTATATATATATATATATATATATATATCCCATATTAAGTGCTGTTTCTGACGATGCGACCTCTTTTTGTGTTAGAAATGAGCATACGACGCGAATGACTGATATTCTTACCGCGGAACCTCTGTATTTAACCCTGATACCCAAAAAGGAAGATAAATGAAGACAAAATGAACCTACATTCGAAGTGTCTACGTTGTCGTGCTGGAACACCTTCAAATGATGCTAAGGATCCATGTAACAGGCACGACTGATCACTAATTCCGAGTACTTTCGGTCGATTCGGCTTCGCTAAAAGGACGACAGATAAAAAAGCCCAACAAAACTAAGACGTCAAGAAGTTCGGGAAATACCAAGGTGAAAAAAACGTAAGCACTTTATCGATCCTGTATTTTTTAGGCAAGGCTTAGATTTTCGTAGTTCTGGGGGTGCATTTGGATTTTCCTGAGTGTAAAACTGCTTCAACAGCGAAACAGCTCTGTCTTCTTGAATGCCGGAGACACAAATGAGTGGCGGAGTTGTTGCTGAGTCTGAGTCGTGTATGCTGAACACTGAACCACAACCGCCAAATCTTTCATTCTTGGCACCGTAGATAATACTAAGGTGGAACAAGCATTTTAGCGGGAGAAGGAAATGAGTACAAACCGTTTTGGATGTGCAGGGAGGCAAAATCTCAGAGCGCTAGCACACATAATGCATGGTTCAACAGTGACATACAACTCTGAATCACGTAAAGTGTCAGCAAGCGAAAGTTGATGCTGTATGCACCATTGCTCCAATCGTCTGATCGCGACCATTTCAGCATGCTCAATAGCACACTTTGTTGCATTTACCTGTGGAGAACGGGACTAGTGAATAGTGCTGAAGGCATAGGGGTGAAAAGTGTTGTTTCAGATGCAGAGACATACCTCATTACGGCCTTTAGCTATAATCGTACCGTCTCTGATAAATACACAGCCCACCGGAACTTCCCCAGCGTCAAGAGCTTCCATGGCCAACTCGAAAGCTACCTCCATGGTGAGAAAGATGACCGAATTCAACCTGTGGACAAAAGCCGGAAACAAATTATCATTAGTTGACATAAAAGATAAAATTGTGTAATATGCAGAGGGAAACAAAAATACACTGTGGTATACGAAAGTATGCAGGCAGAAGCATACTTTGGCGTGGAATAGCCAAATTAGTTTCCCTTGCCAGTGAACAATATATGATTACATTCAAGTGGCGTTCAGCGACACGGGCGCAAACAGAACCACTGACGAAGGGGGGAAACATATACAGACTACTCAGTAAGAGAGCATAGGACGCTTATAAGTAGTACAATTCCGAGAGAGCTAAGTGGTTAAGCTGTGAGCTGTTCACGTTGACACAAAACCCATTACCAACTTTTTAACTGTTTCGGCAAACTGACAGAGTCTCAGCACTCCTGTTTCGTCTGAGTAGCAGGAAGTCTATGTACCAAAAGGCTTTACTTCCGTTTGAGCAGAAACCTCCACTCCCTAGACTCATCACCGACATGGGATGGAGGAAAATTAAACTCATTGACTACGTGTTCACCAACATTGTTGTGGATCGAATCAACTGAAAAAGTTGCGAGTAGTCACCAAGTGATAGCCGTGTTCATGCAATAGACCATTTCTGACCAATAATCTATACAATTTTCCAGATTGAGCGGTGAAATCATCGTAAATTGGAGGTGTTGGCTACACATGGCTGAGCACCCAGCTGGAGGCGGGTAGTTCTGACGGATATCCAATCTTCCTGGCGCTGCGACGTGAAAATCTGAGGTGGGACGGAGCGACATGTTGTACACCACTCTGTGATTGGAGTAATGAAATTGAAGGATTCAACAGCATTTCAGCAATTACTGGACTAGTGGTCACGTCCGAGAGTGGGGGGGGGGGTTGTTTGGCAGGCCAATGTTTTGCGGAGCACGCTCAAGAGCATGAACTGAACCTCTACAGTTTTCAACAGTCGATCATCGGGGTGCCACTGGAATGTGGTCTGTTGGTGTGACCGTCGTTGGGTTGCTAGGTGCATAGATTCCCCCAGGATACTGAAAGCGTGTGAGGTATCGCAGAACCATTGGAGGCAGCAATGTTAGTCAATCGGTAGGCGTCTTCGTAGCACTGTACCAATCCGAACTTCCGAAAGGTGCTACTAGAGGCAAGGAACAAGTTCCCGTGTTCTAGTCAACAGCAACCACTTTGTTCGGGAGAATTCCGATGAAGAATTAGGGAGGCACAGGGCCATAGGGATCTGACTCACTACACGGCCTTTAAGTTAAGCTGTCACCCAATACACACTGGGCGCGGTTGCCAAGGGCGCGACAATAAAATTCAGGACGCGGCTGTCACTTGGCTCACCTCAATCAAAAAGGTTTCACTGAAGTACTGAGGACCAACAACATCATCATTCTCACCTTCATTGCTCAGACTCAGACTCATTCTCCTTTTCACCATCATTATCATCACTATCATCATTACCATCATCTTTAAGCTCCTGATTATTCGGTGTTTGAGGAATCTTCATGCGCCATCATAGTCGCCAATTGCTGATATGGCCTTTCTGTCAGCAATAAGATCTGTTGATCTCGAAGATATCCAGTGTTCACTGAGTCGAGTCAGATGGATCGGACAAAAGTTCTGAGAGCTGACAGCATCGCCTCTTTAACCCGCTTCTATTCATCCTCCAAGCAATTTCCTTCGTCTACATGACTGTGCGTTTCTCGTGGCTTTCTAGCCAGGTCAGCTTGAAACTCTTCAGCTATTGAAACTTGTCGAAGTGGATGAACGCAGTTGCTCTCTTTCGGCACGCGTAGTGCAGGCGGAAAGCGAAGTGATAAGCAGGCTCGCACAATGGCGTGGTCGGAGTCAAGTTGCGTACCCCAGAAGGAACAATGATCCTTGGGGGGGGGGTTGTTTGGCAGGCCAATGTTTTGCGGAGCACGCTCAAGAGCATGAACTGAACCTCTACAGTTTTCAACAGTCGATCATCGGGGTGCCACTGGAATGTGGTCTGTTGGTGTGACCGTCGTTGGGTTGCTAGGTGCATAGATTCCCCCAGGATACTGAAAGCGTGTGAGGTATCGCAGAACCATTGGAGGCAGCAATGTTAGTCAATCGGTAGGCGTCTTCGTAGCACTGTACCAATCCGAACTTCCGAAAGGTGCTACTAGAGGCAAGGAACAAGTTCCCGTGTTCTAGTCAACAGCAACCACTTTGTTCGGGAGAATTCCGATGAAGAATTAGGGAGGCACAGGGCCATAGGGATCTGACTCACTACACGGCCTTTAAGTTAAGCTGTCACCCAATACACACTGGGCGCGGTTGCCAAGGGCGCGACAATAAAATTCAGGACGCGGCTGTCACTTGGCTCACCTCAATCAAAAAGGTTTCACTGAAGTACTGAGGACCAACAACATCATCATTCTCACCTTCATTGCTCAGACTCAGACTCATTCTCCTTTTCACCATCATTATCATCACTATCATCATTACCATCATCTTTAAGCTCCTGATTATTCGGTGTTTGAGGAATCTTCATGCGCCATCATAGTCGCCAATTGCTGATATGGCCTTTCTGTCAGCAATAAGATCTGTTGATCTCGAAGATATCCAGTGTTCACTGAGTCGAGTCAGATGGATCGGACAAAAGTTCTGAGAGCTGACAGCATCGCCTCTTTAACCCGCTTCTATTCATCCTCCAAGCAATTTCCTTCGTCTACATGACTGTGCGTTTCTCGTGGCTTTCTAGCCAGGTCAGCTTGAAACTCTTCAGCTATTGAAACTTGTCGAAGTGGATGAACGCAGTTGCTCTCTTTCGGCACGCGTAGTGCAGGCGGAAAGCGAAGTGATAAGCAGGCTCGCACAATGGCGTGGTCGGAGTCAAGTTGCGTACCCCAGAAGGAACAATGATCCTTAACTGAGAATCTCCATAGGCGACTGATGGCCATATGGTCCGACTGAGTCCACGACTGTCTTGTGGTAGGTGTGGAAGCTCGTACTGGCCAGGAACAGACGATGATCTGCATATAACTGAAGAAGCCGCTCTCCATTATCCGTACGCTCACCATAGACTCTAAATCGAGCACCTAACTGTGCTTTCCCGGATTTAGTCATCCAACTTGGCCATTCATATCACCCGCCAGGATTACTACATCCGTCGTCCCTGCCGACCGAAGTAGTCGTGACAGATGTTGATAAAACTCGTCCTTCTCAGTTTCAGAATTGCTACCTGTTGGGGCGTATACTGATACGACAAACACCGTTTACCGCATCGACCTGCGTTAATCTTAATTGATCCAGAGAACCGCACAGCGCCAAGGCGACTTTTTACTGGGATCCAGTCCAGTAAGGCGTTTTCAGCCTTGGGGCTGAGTGCAGCTCCACACCGTAGTTACCACGTCAGGATCACCAGATGTCCAAAGAGTGAAATGTGGAACATATGGGCTCGTCATAAGCGGCTTGAGGAGCGCGACCGAAGTGGAGTCTTGTATGCGTGTTGTGGAGACACAACATACATCGATAGAGAGGGGAAGTAAGGTTTCAGCAAGGGAGACCCGTTGCCCAATTTGACATACAGTACGGACATTGAAGGCTGCAACATCGATCAGATCTTTTGAGGTTAGAAGGTGATAATTTTGGTTTATTTTTCTGGGCGATGGTTGAGACCCGGAAGAGTGGTTAAGGGGTTGGCAGGTGGGTTGATAGCACTGCACTGTACGATGGGTTGGAAGGAACTGAGGAAAGCCGGTGAGCAAAGAGCTGCAAGGGCGAATGATACTCCCCGGTTGCCCAGACCGAAGAAGGGAGCTTAGGTGGGGTACTCCAACTTGAGCCTTTGACTCCAAAGTCTGATCCACAAGACAGTGGGAGGATTTGTCGAAATATAGGTAGCTCGGATATGTTTACTGGTGCTTGATCGGATGGCAGTTGATCTGTTCGCCGAGCTTGACAATTGGCTTGCAAACGTTTCATCGTGCGCACTGACGATGTCTCCTCCACTGGGGACGAAACGTTTGCAAGCCAATTGCCAAGCTCGGCGAACAGATCAACTGCAATCCGATCAGCCACCAGTACTACTCATAAGGTTGCTGAAAATCCGTTGACAGCCCAAGACCGGTTTCGCCCTACTTGGGGCTCATCAGGTAGGCGCAGTCCCCGGGTTTCCGTCAACCTTATGTTCCACTTGAAACCAAATTGCCCGAAATTAGGGAATATACACTCATTAACGAACTAATTTCGTTTTCACTGTTTTTTTTGCGTTGAACAAGATTGTTAAACCTGTCACGTTAGGTTTATCAGGACTGTCGCGAGTTTCAA